CCCAGCTCACTCCTTCCTTCTCCTGGCCTCATGACAGGGGGTGACGTGACCGCGCCAAGGCACTTCCCTCAGACCAGGGACCCCGCCCCGGGCCACCGCCCTCAGGACTCCAGCCTAGGGAGGGATGCTGGGGGCCTGGGGGCCATCTCCTCTCCTCACCCACGGCCCTCGACCAGGTAACAGGGCAGCAATGCCTCCCCCATGAGGTCCAGGGTCCGTGGAGATCAGTGGATGGGGGAAGGGAAGGAGAACGGGTCCCCAGGCTGGTGTGACCAGGCTGGCTGGCCCCTGCTCAGGGCTCTGCAAGGTGAGAACTAGAAAAGCATGGCTCCTGAGCTCAGCCTCTTGAGGAGGAACAGTGGGAACAGGGCAGGGCTGTGGCCCAGGACTCAGGAGCTGCGGGAAGGGAAGAGAGTCAGGGTCAGGGCCCAGGACAGCTTTGAAGAAGAGCACGGTTTGCAGGGGGTGCGGGGGGCTAAAGGGAACCCAGGCCAACAACCTAGAGTCAGATGTGTGGGGTGCGGAGGAGACAGTCTGAGAGTCTGGGGGGAGGGGGGAGGAAGGGGAGGTGGCCGTTGGACTTCGCCCCAGTAGTTGTTGATGGGCCCTTAGCAGAACAGAGGGGTGGTTTTAGGAAGCTCAGTCTGGCTGGAGAAGGAGGGGCCATGAGGCTTGTGCAGAGGTCCCGACCCCATGCATGGGTGGGAATGAGGGGGGGCAGCAGCAGGGGCCCCTCAGGGCTGTGGGTGCTTGTTCTGCAGGCTGCGCCTGGACCAGAGCCAGCCCGGGGTGGTGGACGCCCATCCCGGCCAGCGGATCCGGTTGACCTGTCGCACTGAGGGCTTCCCACCCCCAACCATCGAATGGCAGAGAGACGGGCAGACCCTCTCTTCTCCCAGGTCTGGTCAGCGCCTCTCCCCGCCCTGCCGGCCCCACCCCACCCTGTGCAGGCCCGCGGGGGAAGGAGCTGCCAGCAGTCACTGGCCAGTCAGGGGCTCTCGAGATGGAGCTGCTGGGCAGAGGGCTCCTTGGGCCTTTGCAGAGCAGTCAGTGGACAGAGGAACAGGGCAGCGAACAGGTGGTGGCTGGGGGAGGAAGGAGGCAGGCACAGTCCTGGCTGTCACAACGGCTAATGTGGCCCCACGTGAGCGTGCGGCCGGTCTCCACCACAGTCTGCAGAAGAGCCACGTAATTCTACTCCATTTTCACACAGAAGCTCAACACCACACAGCTCCTCAGTGGCAGGACCAGGATGTGAGCCCACTAAATGAGTGGAGCAAAAACTGGAAACACACATTATTTGTGTCAGAAAACGTGAAATGATTTATTGCCGGGGTTAGGAGTCAGGCACCTTCGAGTGAATGAGAGTGCTGGCAGGTGGCTGCCCACTGGCCCTGTCAGACCCACTCCCACCTGGAAAGGAAGACCCCCCCCCCATCTCCATCTGCAAGGGCTAGAGCCCCTGACTCTGCTTGGTTCCCCAGACACCAGCAGCAGCCTGATGGCTCTCTGGTCATCAGCCAAGTGGCTGTGGAAGATGGTGGCTTCTACGCCTGTGTCGCCTTCAATGGGCAGGACCGAGACCAGCAATGGGTCCAGCTCAGAGTTCTGGGTAAGGTGCAGTGGGAGGGTGGAATGGAAGGGTGACTGGGGCCAGTGGCCTGGGAGGGCAGGTGGCACAGGTTGGGCAGGCTCGGGATAGTGGCTAACAGTGCCCCCTCCTTGGGCCCAGGGGAGCTGACGATCACAGGGCTGCCCTCTACGGTGACGGTGCCAGAAGGTGACACGGCCAGGCTGCTGTGCGTGGTGGCAGGAGAAAGTGTGAACATCAGATGGTCCCGGTAAGGCTCCGTTCCAGACCCACACCTGAGGCTGCACAGCCCGAGCACAGGCAGTCCACCTCTCTGCAGGGATGCTGCTGTCCCCGCCGTCCCCACCCCCTTCTCCCACTCCTGCCGCCAGGCCTGGCGCCTACACAGTGAGGCCCCAGAGGACGGCTCTCTTCTCTTAGCTGGGCCATACCAGGGTTTCTCAACTCCGGCACTGGTGCCAACTTGGACCCGATAATTTTGGGCTATCCTGTGCAGTCGGATGTCTAGCATCATTAGGCCATCGCCCACTAGGTGCCAGTAGCACCTCCTCACAAGTCATGACAATAAAAAATGTCTCCAAATGTTGCCCAGATCTTCCCTGGGGTTGAGAACCACTGGGCCACACTCAGCTTTGGGGACTTCAGTAGCCTTTTTAGGACTCATTCGTTCTAAATGGGGTCTGATTCGCTCACTCAGCGCACACCTTTTGCCTTCCTCCTCCTCGCAGTCGAGTAGGCTGGCTTTGGGGATCCCGGATCCTCAGAGCCCCGTAGATACTCTCAGGCGGGAGATGCCCGTCGCCCCCTGAGCGCTGTCTGAGCACTGAAGAGCGAGGCCGACTCCCCTCTGGGAGCATCAGGAAGGGGCGGCCATGTGGTGACTGGCTGGGCCTTGAAGGCTGAGGAGGGGAAGGATGTTCTTCGTCAAGTGAAGGGCGATCCCAGGACAGGAATGGCCCTCACCCTGGACGAGGCTTGTACCTTTACCTTTGCCTCCCCCGGCTCTTCCCAGTGGGAACACGCTCAGGACTCCCTGTGTTTCCCTGAATCCGGGTCTTTGAGCAGTTTCCTCTTCACAGCACCTCTGTTTATAGCATGTCTCCACCTGTCCACCCACTCAGCCCTCGAATGGGGGCCTCACCTCCACCCCTGGCCAAGGCCCCCAGCTACTTCCCTGCTCCTAAATCCTCTGGACACATCCCAATCCCCACACGGCCTGTACCCTTCCTGCTTCTTTCCCGCTGGCTCATCGCCTCATAGCCACCCCTTAGGAGCCAATGGCCCTCAGGGTCGGGCCTTGGTCCTCGGTTTATCTAACGTCGCCTTCGGCAAACATGCAGACACATGTTTCCGGGACCACCCAGTGGTGATGCATGACCTGGGTCCAGACCTCAAACCCGATGCCTCCTGGTATCTCACAGGCACCTGAATGCAAAATGGTGGACAATAACCTCACCGTTCACCCCTCATCACTGTCCTGGGTCTCCCATGGTGGAGGGGCACCACCATCACCCAGCACCCCAGCCTAGAAACTGCTATCCTCCTCCATTTCTCCTCTCCCACATCTGACCCTCCTCCCAGTCCTTTATTGCCTGTGTCATCTACCTGTGCAACAGCCTCTGACCTGGTCTGCTTTCAGGCTTGTCCCTCAGCCTCCACTGCAGTCAGAGACCCTTTCAAAGTAGATACCATGTCAGTCCTATTTACCCCCTGGATCCAGTCCACTCTCCTGACCAGAGCCGCGCCCCGGCCACGGCCTTCCTCCAAGCTCCCGAGACCCCATGCTGCCCTCTCCGCATCCTCAGGCCAGGCTCCCCCCAACACCTGCACCCCCACCCCAGTGCCTGGGGGTGGGGAATGCTTACGTGCTTCAGCCAGCACAGGGCCCGGCACCTCATGGCTGCTTCGTTCTTCGTTAATGAAATGTGGTTCCTGTGGGGCGGAGGCACGTTTACAGCCCTCAGAGCACTGTGCTCGGTTGGTGTGTGTGTCACTTGAGTTCTTTCGCTTTGATAATGTCCTGTCTGTTGGGTACCCTGTCCCACCTCTTCTGTGAGGTGAGGGCCAGCTGTCTGTCCACAAAGAGGGAGCAGCTGACTCTGGAAAGGTCTTGGATTGCCTCCTCCCCCTGCCTCTTGGCCCTGGACAGCTCTCACGTCCTCTCCCCTCCAGGAACGGGCTGCCGATACGGGCCGATGGCCACCGTGTCCACCAGTCTCCAGATGGTACTTTGCTGATCCACAACCTGCGGGCCGGGGACCAGGGCTCCTACACGTGCAGCACCTACCGTGGCAGCCAGGCAGTCAGCCGCAGCACTGAGGTGAAGGTGGTCCCACCAGGTAGGAAAGGCTGCTTGTTCCCGAGCAGCCTCTGCGGCCCCAGGGTCTCTGGTCCGAGTCCGGACTCGCTCTGCCAGTTCCTGGAAGTGTGACTCGGGCAGGGGCTTGGCCTCCCTGAGCCTTCCTCTCCTCACTGCCCGACAGGCTATAGTGAGGATGAAGGAAATAAGTGGATGACAGGCATCTGCTAATAGCTTAATAGATGATGCTAAATATCATTTTTTAGACTTACTGGTTTTATTTTGAGAAACAGGATTGACTGGAAGTTTATAATACTTAAGACAGGTCATTAAAATCTGTCCATTCTAATTAGGGCGGCAAAACATGGTCCTACGATTGGAAAGTGCCTGTAAGGCCTTTGATCATATGCCCAGAAAGGAAAGGCAGGGATTAGTGCCGCCATCTTACAAGCGAGATACTCAGCGGGAGAGCTCCAGGGATGCTGCCACAGGTCATGCAACAGATTTGTGGCCAAGATGGCGCTAATCCTCATACTTAATGTTCTTTTCACTAAACTATTACACCTGTAAGTGGGCAGAATTTTCCTTGCGTTATTTAGTAAGTTGATATGTCAGCCTTATATTCTCTAGCTCTTGCTCTAAGTTGTTATTAAATCTAAATACCATGTTTTAAGATGCATTTTCATACCACTAAGGAAAAAAAGGCTAATTCAATGCTAAGACACCATAATTAATTTGCAGTCCATTTGACAGGTGTTAAAATATGAAAATAAGTGCATCTCAGAATTGATGAAACAGCTTGTGGTTTCATCTTCAATCTCACAGGAGCTGTGTGTTCAAATAAGCCAGAGGGACGGGGGGCTAGGGTGGGGAGGATGGTGGTGATCTTTGCCCTACACCCAGTGTGCCCTCCATGTACCCTCAATCTGGGCTCACTGAGCAGCAGGGCTGTGCCCGGGGCTGGGAAGAACGTGCGGGGTGGGGGGGGGGGGCACGCGCCTGGCTGCCAGAATGAGGGTGGGGACTGGTCAGTGCTAGGGGCTGAAAGTCTGGTAGAAGTGTTGTTTAGGGAGTTGGACTGACACTTGGCCTCCAGTTTGTGAGCTCCTTAGAACAGTGACCGGGACCCATGTCCCCGGAGTCCAGCCCAGGTCTTGGCAGCACCAGGTGCTCAGATACTTGGTGACAGCCTCCTACTGCAGGAGCTACTTCCCGCCTCCGATGATGCCCAGCAAATCCATCTCTTGTCTACATAATAACCAAGCTTACCAGACTTGAGACAAACCAGAATACAGATTTATTTGACAGAGAGCAGTTAGGAGGACCCTGACGGTCGTGATTCCTGTAGACACGTCTGTATGGGAAACTTGCTTGAGGAAGGCTGGTGGGACTCCTGATGACGTGTGGTCACCATGCTGAAAGGTCTGCTGTGACCTGCCTCTTGGAAACAGCACTATGGCCTCCGTCGGCCACTTTTCTCCCACCCGTGCTGGACTACCGTGTCGCTAATCTTAGATATTTTAGGGGCATCTTTCTTTACTAGAAGTGGCCTCCCTCCTAACTGTATTCATTCCAATGGATTAGGCTGCAGCCATTTTTTCTTTGGGGGGTGGGGGTGGGGTTTCACCTTGCCCTAGTCACGGTTTGGTGGCGAACACTGAAATTAGTGTTAGCATTAGGGCGGGGATGGTGCTTGAGCCAGTCACCCTCTAGAGCAAGCATGTCAAACTCGTGGGCATGTGGCCCAGCCAATATAACGGTATACAAATTTCATAACTTAATTTTTACAATATCCTGTTATACATAATTACCAAACTACAACATTCACTGACTGATTACTATAATCGTGTTGCATTCATTTCTCTTACGTGCCTTACGCGCACCATTTCTCTCCACTAATACTAGCAGTGAATATTTTAGCAGCCAACTGCCACGTCATTAGTCTTGGACTAACTTGTTTGGTGTGCGCAACAGGAAATATTTCGCTTTTGGAGAACAAGAAAAATAGGTTTATTTGCGTTATACTTATTAATTTGTGCAGTTATTCAGTGTCTGGTAAGTTAATGTTCAAGAAAAAATATTTTACTAAAATGTTCTATTATGTTAACGATTGCTCATTTATTTCAGCCCTGTGTATTCAGCATGTTTCTAGGAAAACTGAAGCTTCTGTTTTTATGCGGCCCACATAAACTTAAACCTAAACCTTGTTTATTTGGCCCGTGTTAGCCTTTGAGTTTGACATGCTTGCTCTAGATCCGTGGTTCTCAACCTTCCTAATGCCGAGACCCCTTAATACAGTTCCTCATGTTGTGGTGACCTCCAATTTCATTTACAAATTGAACATAATTAAAGCATAGTGATTAATCACAAAAACAATATGTAATTATATATGTGTTTTCCGATGGTCTTAGGCGACCCCTGTGAAAGGGTCGTTCGACCCCCAAAGGGGTCGCGACCCACAGGTTGAGAACCGCTGCTCTAGAGTACTAGAGTAAGGGACATACTTCTACTGTGAGGACTTATTCTTTTTGCTTAAAATATTGTTTAGAAATAGAAAATAGTACAGGGAAAAAACACAGTTAAACACTCATGTGCCCATTGCAGATGGGGAAACAGAGAGCTTAAGTATCTGCCTAAAGTCAGCCAGCTGGCAAGTGGGAGAGCCAGGACTGCGCCCCGGAAGTCTGGCTCTGGAGCGGGTGTGCTTAACCTCTATAGTCAATGGTCATTTTGTTGTACTTTGGGATAAGCCTTCCCTGAGGTCCAGGAGGTTTGACTTTAGGGAAAGTGCTACTCAGGACCAAGCCAAGCGGGGAACAGCCCCTTCCAGAAAGAAAAAGGAAGTTAAGTAGATAGGCCACTTGGGCCCTAAGATGAAGCAGCAGACGGAAACTCTCGCAGTTTGTAAGATACAGAAACTCCTAGTAAATGCCAAGGAGGGGACCAGTGCTCTGTGCTCAGTATTGAGCATTGCTCACAAGACCGTTTTCCTGTCACCTTGACTAACTCGCACTGCTTTCTCAGGGCGGGAGAGGAAAAACAGGGAAACAAAGTGACTAAGATAAACTGGGACTACTGAATAAACAAAACTTTGGGGTGGGAGGAAACCAGCAGTGAGAGAGAGGACAAAACAGCACTTGCCAACTCAAAATTTTTCTTTAGGGCGGATCCTACTCTTTCTTCTTCCCAATCTAAAGGCCAAGGCAGAGGGCATTTAGCTTGTCAGGTCTCAACAGTAAGGGTAGGGAGTTAACTTCGAGATGTTTAATCATCTAGTCAGTCAATACTTGGGAGTCTGCAATGGGCTGTGCTGATGTGGCCAAAGAATAACGGGAGGATCACCGCATGCTAAAGCAGGGCCAAAAATGGATGGAAAATGACTTCCAGTCAAGATGGCAGAGTAAATATTGTGCTCATCTTCCCCCACGATCACATCAAATTATACCTAAATTAGAGAACTGCCTGAAGAAGAGGAAACAGAAGTCCTATAACTAAGGATATACAGAAGCAGCCATGACGAGACTGGTAGGAGAGGGCAAGTCCCACACCCAGCCAGCAAGGTGGGAGGCGGGTGCCAAATCTGAGCTCTCCATTAACCTGGCCAACACTGTTTGCCCCAACCAACTCATAGCCAACCTAAGCCGCTTCCAGTGACTTTTCCACAAAAGCAGCTGTCCTTGCTGCAAACTTTCATAAAATCTCCCAAAGGTCCAGAAACCCAAACAAACAGCAGCTGGTCTTGGTGTGCCCTGTAGCTCCCATTATGTGGCCCAAGCCTGGCATAAGCTGCAGCGCATGCTGGCCTGGAGTGTAGCTTCAACTAAGTGGCCACAATATGGCACTAGTGGCAGCTGGCCTCAGTTCGCAGCTTAGCCTCTCCTGGGTGCCCCCAAGCCCAGCACAAGCAGCAACCAATCGCAAATCACTTTGTAGCTCCCATTAGGCAGCCCCAAGCTAGGCACAGATGGCGGCTGACGTTGGCCTGCACCAGAGCCCTTCCCAAGAGCCTCCAGAACCAACACAGCCAGTGGCCAGCTTCAGACCACACCAAAGTACCACCCAGTCAGTTCCACAAACAACACACGGGACGAGCAGACTTGGCTGGCACAAGAGATCTGCTAAAGCAACTCCTGCTCCTGGGGTCAGCCCCTACAGCTTTCCTGTAGTCATGGCCAGTCAGCCTGAGGGTCGATCTCACCTACTGACATGCCAACAGCAATCAGGCTCAACTACAACAGGAGAGCAAACACAACCCACATAAGGGACACTCCTGGAGCGCCCAGCTCAGGTGCATAAGGAGACTGCTCCACTGGTCCTCACAGGACACCTGCTACATAAGGCCACTCTGCCAAGTCTGGGAGACAAAGCAGACCTACATAATACATAGAAACAAACACAGGGAGTCAGCCAAAATAAAGAGACAGCCATGTTCCAAATGAAAGAACAGGACAAAACTCCAGAAAAAGAACTAAATGAAATGGGCACAAGCAATCCACCAGATAAAGAGTTCAAACACTGGTTATAAGGATGTTCAGTGAGCTCAGTGGAAGAATAGATGAACTCAGTAAGAACCTCAACAAAGAGATAGAAATCATACAAAAAAAAGAACCAGTCAAAAGTGAAGACTACATTAGAGGGAATCAACAGCAGATCAGATGAAACACAGAATCAGATCTGGAAAATAAGATAGTGAAAAACCAAGAAAAAGAATGAAAAAAAATTTGTGTAAGGGACCTTTGGGATAAACCATTTTTTATTTTTTTTGAGAGAGTGGAAGGGAGGGGAACAGACACATCAATTGGTTGCCTCCTGCACATGCCCTTCACCGGAACTGAACTCGGGACCCTTCAGTCGAGGGCCAACACTCTATCCACTGAGCAAAACTGGCTAGGGCAGGATAAACCAACATTTGCATCGTAGGGGTACCGAAGCAGAAGAGAGCAAGGGATTGAAAAATCTATTTGAAGAAATAACGACAAAAGACTTCTCTAATCTGGCAAAGGAAATAGACATACAAGTGCAGAGTCCCAAACAAGATAGGCCACACCAAGACACATTATAATTAAAATGCCAAAAGTGAATGACAAACAGAGAATCTTAAATGCAGCAAGAAAAATGCAGTTAGTTACCTACAAAGGTGGTCCCATAAGACTGTCAGCTGATTTCTCACAAGAAACTTTACAGGTCAAAAGGGATTGGCAAGAAATATTCAAAGTGATGAAAAGCACAGACTTATAACCAAGATTACCCTGCAAAGCTATCATAGGAAATAAAAATTCTCACTGACAAAGGCAAACAGTATTAAGGCAGTGGATCAACAGCTAGTACAAAGGTTAAAAGCAGAAGTAGGAAGATCATGTGTAATTACAGTAATAAAATAAGGGACACACACAAAGGAAGTAAAAAATGACCATAACATAAACGTGGAGGTGGTGAGTAAAAATTATAGTCATTTTAGAATGTGTTTGACTTTAAGCAACCATCAACTTAAAATAGACTGCTATAAACATACGGAAGCACATGGTAACCACAAACCAAAAATCTACAAGAGATATGCAAGAAATAAAGAGAAGGGAATCCAAACACGATACTACAGAAAGTCACCAACATATACTTGTAAGAGAGCAAGAGAGTAAGAAAGGAACAGCGAAGAACTACAAAAACAATAACATGGCAATAACTACATACCTATCAATAATTACTTTAAATGTAAATGGACTAAATGCTCCAATCAAAAGACACTGGGTGACTGAATGGATAGAAAAACATGACCCACACGTATGCTGCCCACAACGGACCCACTTCAGCTAGAAAAACAAGCACACAAGGGATGGAAGAAGATATTTCATGCTAATAGACACCATCCCAAAAGCTGGGGGAGCAAGACTTAAACAAGATCAACTTTAAAACAAGGGCTGTAACAAGAGACAAAGAAGGGCATTTCATAATGATAAAGGGATTAATCCAACAAGAAATTATAAATGACACATTAGACCAGATGGATTTAATTGACATTTTTAGGACATTTCACCTTAGAGCAGAATATATATTCTTTTCAAGTGCACACAGAACATTTTCCAGGATAGCCAACATGTTAAGCCATAAAAGAAGTCTCAATAAATTAAGAAAACTGAAATCATATCAAGCATCTTTTCCAATCACAATGGTATTAAACTAGAAATCAAAACAAGAAAACTGAAAAAGACAAAAACACATGAAGGCTAAATAACATGCTATTAAACAATGAATGGGTTAACAATGAGATCAAGGAAGAAATTAAAAGATATCTTGAGACAAACGTAAATGAAAACACAATGACCCAAAATCTATGGGACACAGCCAAAGCAGTTTTAAGAGAAAGAGAAATAGTAATACAGGCCTACTTCAAAAAACAATAAAAAGCTCAAACAAACCTTGCACGTAAAGGGACTAGAAAAAAGAACAAACAAAGCCCAAAGTGAGAAGGGAGGAAACAATAAAGATCAGAGTGCAAATAAATAAAATAGAGTTTTAAACAATAGAGCCCTAGCCAGTTTTGCTCAGTGGGTAGAGCATTGGCCTGTGGACTGAAGGGTCATGGGTTCAATTCTGGTCAAGGGCACATACCTCGGTTGCAGCCTTGTTCCCTGGCCCTGGATGGGGCACATGTGGGAGGCAACCAATTTCACATTGATGTTTCTCTGTCTCTTCCCCTCCCTCCCACTCTCTCTCTCTTAAAAAAAAAAAAAATAAATAAATAAATGGAAAAATATCCTCAGGTGAGGATTAACAAAACAAAAATAAAAAACCTGAAAAGACAACCTACTGAATGGGAGAAGATATTCATTGAGACATCCAATAAAGGGTTAATATCCCAAATACATGAGGAACTCACAAAACTTAACACCAAAAAACCCCCAAATTAAAGAAGGGCAAAGGTCCTAAACAGACATTTCTCCACAGAGGATATACAGGTGACCAATAGACATATGAAAAGATGCTCAACATTACTAACCATCAGGGAAATATAAATTAAAATCACAATGAGATATCACTTCATACCTGTCAGAATGTCTATCTCCAATAAATCAACAAGTGTTATCGAAGATGTGAAGAAAAGGGAACCCTCATGCACTGTTGGTGGGAATGCAGATTGGTACAGCCACTATGGAAAACAGTATGGAGGTTCCTCAAAAAATTAAAAATACAACTGCCATATGACCCAACAATTCCAATTCTGGGTATTTATCTGAAGAAATCCAAAACACAAATTTGAAAAGACATATGCATTCCTATGTTCATTGTAGCATTTTTAGTAGCCAAGATATGGAAGCAACCTAAGTATCTATCGCTAAATTATTTTATAAAGATGAGGTACATATATATAAAATGGAATATTACTCAGCCATAAAAAAAGAAATCTTGCCATTTGCAACAATATGGATGGACCCAGAGGGTATTATGTTAAGCGAAACAAGTGAGACTGAGAAAGACAAATATTATATGATTTCACTTACATGTGGAATCTGAAAAAAAAAAATGAACAAAACAGAAACTCAGATACAGAGAACAAACTGATGATTTCCAAAGGGGAGAGAGTTTAGGAGGATGGGTGAAAAAGGGGAAGGGATTAAGGTATACAAATTTCAGTTATAAAAACAGTCACAGAAATGTAAAGTACAGCATAGGGAATATATAGTCAGTAATACTGTAATAACTATGCATGGTTTAGATGGGAACTAGACTTATCGAGACTCTGTAAGTTATATCAGTGATTCCCAAAGTGGGCGCTACCGCCCCCTGGTGGGCGCTGCAGCGATCCAGGGGGGTGGTGATGGCCACAGGTGCATTTGGGGGCAATGAGTAACTGCTATTAAAATTAAAAAAATTAATTTCCAGGGGCTGAGTAATATTTTTTCTGGAAAGGGGGGCGGTAGGCCAAATAAATTTGGGAACCACTGAGTTATATGAATGTGTAATCACTATGTTGCACACCTGAAATGAATATAATATTGTATGTCAACTGTAATTGAAGAAAAAAAAAGCATGGGTGGAAATTGTGATCCCTCCTGTAGTTGTACATACAGGTGTTGAAAGGTTACAGAGCAACTGCATTTTGGGGGAATCTGACAGCCACAGTGCCACTTTTAAGGAAATGAAATGGTGAGAATCTTCAGCGCACAGAGCTTCCTTACCCTTTCTTTCTCCCTTGTTGTTTTGCAGCACTGGCCGCCCAGCCGAGGGACCCCGGCAGGGATTGCATGGATCAGCCGGAGCTGGCCAACTGTGAGCTCATCCTGCAGGCCCAGCTCTGTGGCAATGAGTATTACTCCAGCTTCTGCTGTGCCAGCTGTTCCCGTGCCCAGCCTCATGCGCAGCCAGTCTGGCAGCAGGGATGAAGGCCGGCTCCAGCCCCAGTTCTGAAACAACTCGTAGGGCTGGGGAGAAAGGCAGGGAGACTCTCACTCCCCCCTCTGTGGCTGCCAAGGGAGTTACCTTCTGGAGACACTGCTCCCCACCCCACCCCACCCACCCAGTGTTTAGCCTCAGCAGAGGCCAGATCAGCATCTCTGACATGACGGAAAGAAACCTGTTTGGATTAGGATGTGCTTTACTTTACAACTTCCCTCTATAATTTCTGGTACACAGGAGCAGTTCACTGTGTTTTAAAATGAGCTACCAGGGTTTTCACTTCATGTGAAGCTGGATAGGGAGGTGCATAACTATTTTAGTTAACACCTACCTAACTCCCGCTGTGACAGGGAAGGATGCTTTGCTAGAACTAGATCTCATCTGGGGTCAAACAGTGGCCTGTGCTCTAGTCCCTCTCAACCTTCCAGGTAGTAAGTAGCAACCAGCTTCAAGCCCATCTGTGCATATGGTTAACAGCATAACATTGGTGAAAGCTCTCAGGAAAGTGAACTATGAGGTAAGGCTCACCTAGGAATTTAGTATGAAAGGGTAGCAGTTGCATTATTATCTGAGCATGAAAGAACTGGAAAAGCTGCTTACTTTCATCGGGAAGCTGGAGCCGGAAGCCCTCCTCCTGAGGCCAACAGGAAGAGCTGGCTGTGAGGACCGCCTTACACCTGTATGGAGCTGATCGACGGCCCTGCTCTGTACTGAGACCAACAAGGAGCCGCTCCTTCTCGAGTAGGAATCTGTGAATCAAAGTGTTTGCTGCCAGATAAAAGCCAGTCTATTATTAAAAACAGCAGCCTGGCCAGTGTGGCCCAGTGGTTGAGCATCAACCCATGAACTAGGAGGTCAGGGTTCGATTCCCAGTCAGGGCACATGCCCGGGTTGCAGGCTTGATCCCCAGTAGGAGGTGTGCAGGAAGCAACCGATCAATGATTCCCTCTCACCATTAATGTTTCTATCTCTGCCTCCCTTTCCTTCCCTCTCTCTGAAGTAAATTAAGAATATATATATTTAAAGAAACCAGCAACAGCAAGATGGTGGTCCCAATGGAGGGGAGGGCAATGTAATAATAAGAAAGTGGCTTCAGAAATGGTTTGAGTTGGTGGAAGTCATTCTGCATCTCAGGACTTCCAATTCCTTGCTGCTAAAGTAAGAGCCCTGGATTCAATGTGGCTTCTTAGTCCCTTTCCACTTAACTTTTTACAAATCCTCCAGAGGGCTGGCTGGGCCTAGTGACACAGGTTATTCAGAGACATAGGAAAGACAGGTGCTAAGGGAAAGGTTTTATTCATCATGATCATGCTGGCTGAGTGAGGGATACTTATTAGTCTACCTATCATGGGCCAAGGCACAGATCTTTTCTTTCCATTTAAAAATATTGAGGACCATTCCCTTTGATTTACCATGGCTGGTTTTGCTATAGAAATTAGAAAATTTCTAATTTTCTTGGACTCCCCAGTTCTTTAATTAAACCAGTATTTGGCCCATTGGTAACATATTTCCAGAAGGTAAGTTTGAGGTTAGCTAGCTCTTCTTAGAACTAGTCACAGACTAGTGGGCTGAAGTTCAAGGTGAGAGTAAAACTCAATCTAAACCACTGGTCCTCAACCCTCTTCCACAGTGGGAGCCTTTAAAAAACAGAACCAGGGGTTCCACTCTCCAGAGATTTGAATTTAATTGGTCTAGAGTACTGCCCAGCCATGAGGATTTTAAATGCTCCCCAAGTGATTCTGATACATATCCAAGGTTGAGACTCACTGCTCCAGCCCTGGACATCTGATTGTGAATCTTGCTCAAATGCAGATTCTGCTTACAAGGCCTGGAGGAGGGTGGGGAGCTGAGATTCTGTATCTCTAACCAGCTCCTAGGTGAAGTCCATGCTGTTGTCCAGACCACACTTTAGGCAGCAAGAATAGGATGTTAGAGATGCATTTAGGATCAACCAAAACCTAAAGAATGAATACAAATATGAACTGTAAGAATATACCAGAGCCCTGGCCGGTGAGAATTGGAGTGTTGCCCGCACACCAGAGGGTTGCGCGTGTGGGAAGCAACTGATCAATTGATGTTTTTCTCTCTTTCTCCTTTCCTCTCTCTGAAAAATAATAAAATAATATATTAGAAAATAAAAGATTTTCTAGCCACCAAACTAAAGAGCTGCAGCAACAGCAGAATGGAGAGAGGGAACAAGACCTGAAAGAACTAAGTCAACTGCTAATAAAGAAAAGGGGAAAGAACAGCCCTTTATGGGCAAAAGCTTCTACCACGAACATTTATTTTTGTTAAAGCAGATTATAAATTCTCATCAGTACAAATATATATAACGTACATTTGATTGTAAGGCCAACGTTCAAAAGTAAAAATGAGATGGGATCTCACGTTGTTACCAGAGGTCAAGTGGCTGCAACTGGCAACGGGATGTTCTGTCCACAGGGAGGGGGACGAGGACACACACGGAGACACACACACACACACCTAATAAAACCAGAAACTCCATCCCCACAAAACTCATGGGAACACACTTAAAGGACAAAACAAAACCCACCAAGACCCACATGACAAACCAACAGAATAACCTGCGTTCCAGTCTATGCATATGATGTCATTGTCACCTTAGTGTTAAAACAAGTAAAGGATTAACATAAGGAAACTGCAGCAATATATAAAAAGAAAATACATATTCTCTATAGAGCATATTTAGACTGATTCCATTAAAATAATATTAGAATTTCACCATAGGTTTAAAACCAGGACAATACTACTCTTTCATTTTCTTTATTTAAACTACAACCTAGTGACTGTATTGGTCATAAGCATGATTGTTGTTGCAATGTGCTACTCTACTTACAATGACTGATACCAAATAAGCGAGGGATCCGGTCTGCACCTCCAGCTTTTCCCCTTTTACTTCAGTAGAAATCAACGATAAATCAATCTTATGTACAATTTCTTACAGCTAACCCTTTTACCTTTGGCAAGATTACTTACAACTTATACAACTTTTTAATATTGAGAACTATTTAAAATATTCTAAATGCATAAAAATAAAGATTTGGCTTTTTTGATATATATTTATAATATTTATTCTTACTCAAAATGGAAGCTCAACTTTACCCCTAAAATATAGCTCTGCTGGGCAGCTGCTGATGCGCCCTCCTGGGATTCTGGCAGCACCGCCTGCCTCTTGTCCTCGGCCTAAGCATAGGCCACCCTATTCTCAATCTCTAAGATGGGCCAGTATTGAGAGGAGGCAGGTGCATGGCCTGAAAAAAAAGGGAGATCGTTTTGCTTCCCGTTGTGTTCTATATTCCATTAAATGTGCTTTGAATACAGATTCCTGTTCAGATACATCTGCCTCTCTGTTGTCAGAGATTTGTAAGGGGCTGAGGCAGGAGGGGGACAAAGGGCAACATTTTCTTGACTTCTTTAGCCTAACAGGACAGCTCTTCTCTAGGAATGGTTTTCTCACTTTTTTCAAAAATCACCCCACACAGCACTCTGCACCTGGACATACTCCTTGGGACCTTTGGGATTAGTGAAAAGTGTGCTATTGGGAACACAAAGTCTCCTTTGCTCCTTTGACCTTCACCCTCCCCCTGCCCTTGCCTAAGTACAGACAAAATACATAAGCCATGGGGACTGCTCAAAGTTCAATTTCAAACGTCTTCTGTAGGTCACTGGAGAAGGGGTTGGTGGGGGAGGGGTTAGTACGCTGCTTGGACTTGCTCTCTAATGCAGCCCACTGGGCTTCGAAAGGATCCACGGGGCAAGTGCCTATAGGAACCTCTGTGTGCTTGTCTCCTGAGGCCAACCTACCATCGTCTACACCATTGAAAGCTGCAGAACCATTGAAGTGCTCAGCAGGAGGCTTGAAGAAGGGACTGGCACAAGCACTGCTTGTCTCATACTGAGGGAATGTCTGCTGCTTGACCAGGCTGGGAGACTGATGGGGATGGGCAGCCTGAGGGTGGCCTGCAGTGCCAAACACATTGGCTACCATCTGGGAGGGAGTGATGCCCACCACAGGCACATTAGGGGCTGGATAGGGCATCCCATTGGCCACAGGATAGGCCTGGGCAGGGATAAAGGCTGGCTGTAGGGGCGGGACGGCACCCACTGGCATAGGCTGAGAGGTGAGGAATGCATTCCCTTGGAAAGGTGGCGCTGGCTGGGAGATGGCAGTGGGTGGAGGCGGCTGGAGGACTGGCTGCAGTGGGACAGCTGAGGCTGGGGGCTGCTGAGCCCGGACGCTCTTGGACACCTCTTCTAACCAGCGGTCAGCCTCAGAGGGAGTACGTCTGTGGCCAGCCTGGAAGAGACCTGGAGAGGCAGCACCAGAAGATTGACCCCACTCGGTCCCTGGAACCAACATGAGAGAGAGAAAAGAGTCAGTCTTTCGGAGTGTTTTTCTTCACCTGATGATCTTGGTTATTTGAATGATCCTAACGTGGAGCAAATCCCTCTAGTGGAATAATCTGTTACTAGCAGAGGAGTTTTGTGGCAGCATGTGTCAGATCATGCTGCTGTCTCAGCCACATTGAGGAGCTGTCTAGATATGGCTCAACTGCACTGAACCAGGCAGCTGGCTGGCACAGGAAACCCTTCCCTGATGCTGTGGCTCATCTATGGTACAGAAACCACCTTGCACATGCGCAAAGGGCCCAAGGTGATTCACCTTCTACTCTAACAGAACGAAGAGAAAATACTTGGTTCTGTACCTCATGACCCTTGCCTGGCTTCCTGACACATGTTGCCTTCCTGATGAACTGCCTTTATTACTGTTTAAAATTCTCTTGGTTTTATGGTTAAATGTTCATTATAGAAAAACTAGAAAGTATAGAAAAGCAAAAATAAAGTGTTTTTTATAGCTCTTGTTTTTGGGCCTTCCATTATAGGAGGCAGGGTCCCCTCATCCTATAGGCTTATCTACCTATTTCCAAATCCAGTGACAGACCCCCTCAGGGTAGGCCCAGGAATCTGTACTTTATGAAAGTTCTATGGGTGGTTCTGTTCCATAGTCTTAAGAACTGTCAATTTAACCTCTTCAGTTCTTTCTCCTTCTCCATCCTTTCTTAATAGTAGTTTATTTCCAGGAGAGAATATACTTTTCCTAAAAGCACTTCTCCCTGGTTCCTACTCAGGTAAATGGCTGATTTTCAAACCGGGGTCACTTAGCTGATCCCAGAATCCTCACCACCATCTGTGGCCACCTTACCCGAATGTGTGGCTGCAATTCCCTTGTTAACAGCATCAAGGGCATGCGCCCAAGGGTTGGTTTCACGCACAGGCATTGCTACGGATGCTAGAGCAGTATGGGCTGGCTTAGCAGCAAGCACATGGAAGGCTGAGTCAGTGCCATTAGCTACAATGGGAGCAGACAACATCAATGGAGTTAATTCATGCAGGGTGCACAGGTGACCTGTTGGAGCTGGGTCAGTCAGGCCAATGTGCAATACTAATGGAACAGACAGAAGAGTTGGTGTTGGGATAACCATACCATCTTGTAGTGGATACACAAACCTTTTGGCAAAGAGGGAATTAGAGGTTGTAATGAAAATGGCTATCTGGAGTCAAATGACTGTTCTAGGACACTATGTGTATGGGGAGAGAGGAAATGAAAGCCTAGAAAAACAATTTCAAATTAAATTGAACAGAGCGGCTTTGTCTTACAAGCAGCAAAAAGCTAATGCATAGCCTTTGGCATAATGATGTATATGAAGCATTTCCCTCTCCTATCACTTTCCCAAAGACCAAGTTATGGCAATAGTAACAACAATGGGATAAATATAATGATTCCATACTATGTTCTAGGTCAGTGGTCCTCAACCTTCCTAATGCCGCGACCCTTTAATACAGTTCCTCATGTTGTGGTGACCCCCAACCATAAAATTATTTTCGTTGCTACTTCATAACTGTAATTTTGCTACTGTTATGAATAGTAATGTAAATATCTGATATGCAGGATGTATTTTCATTGTTACAAATTGAACATAATTAAAGCATAATGATTAATCACAAAAACAAAATGTAATTATATATGTGTTTTCCGATGGTCTTAGGCGACCCCTGTGAAAGGGTCGTTCGACCCCCAAAGGGGTCTCAACCCACAGGTTGAGAACCACTGTTCTAGGTGCTATGTTAATAATACTTTAGTGTGCATTATCTCATTTAATTCTCTCAAAAACCTAGTAAGGCTGGTATTATCCCCATTACAGATGAGAAATCAAACTTGGTATATGTTTTCATTTGCTTAGTAAATCTATAATTAACTACATAATTAATTTTATCTTCCTTTTTGGAAGATTTTTTCCTCTTTGGTAATGTTGATAATATCTCGAAGCCCCTACTATTCTTTTCTTGTCTCCCCTTATCAAAAGCTCCTGAGACCTTGTTCCTGTACTCTGGGCATCTATTCCATCAGTTGCTACTCCTCAGTCCATCTATCATTCATATTTATTATGGAGCATAGAAGCAGGTACCTTCCCCTGCCTACACTATCACTATTCCCTCTTTAGGACGAGGCAACCATGCTGTGGCTTTGGTACTATTTACCAGGGCTTGTCTAAAAAACTAGCTTACCCTTCGACTGGGAGCCCCTGAAAGGCAGGGAAAAGACGATGTTCTATTCAGTTTTACACTCATTGCCTTGTGAATAGGCATATAGTCAGTAGGATGTAGCAGGTACTATATTCAGAAAGACCTGGGTTTAAATCCTGGCTGTGCAAGTTGGGCAATTTACTTAAGCTCTCTGAGCCTCATTTTCCTTATCTGTAATGCTTACCTCAAAGGGTTGTTGTAGAGATTAAGAGAGAGAGAACATGCATGAGTCCTTACCATGATGTGGCAGGAGGCACCAAGGGCTCAATAAATTGTGCCTATTATTATTGATATTATAAATATTTGTCAGATGGAAAGCTATTTGGCACACATGACTTTAAAGGTATAAAGCAGGGGTCCTCAAACTACGGCCCGCGGGCCACATGCAAATACAAATATTGTATTTGTTCCCGTTTTGTTTTTTTTATTTCAAAATAAGATATGTGCAGTGTGCATAGGAATTTGTTCGGTTTTTTTTTTTTAAACTATAGTCCGGCCCTCCAACGGTCTGAGGGACAGTGAACTGGCCCCCTGTTTAAAAAGTTTGAGGACCCCTGAATAAGACAGTTTGAGGACCCCTGGTATAAAGGTTTATTTTTAAAAAGAGATTCCTTGTAGGAAAAACATGTGGTAGTTTACTCCAACAGGAGCAGGGTACTGTTCTCACAGCAAAGCTTTTTCTGAGCTCTCTTTCAAAAGAAATAAAGAAATGGCAATTATAAGGAGGTCAAATTCTAAGTCTGTAATTTAAGTAATACAGACTCTTTGCTGACCTCTGAGTCAGTAACTGCTAACTCAGTAACTCTGAAAACAACAACTTTTAGTGACTCTTCAATGCCACAAAGTCAAATTCTAGGACACTTGTTATAGAAGGTTCAATGAACTAAAGAGCCAAAAGAAGTACCTTTTTCTGTAGGAGCCTCCTGAGACTGGGTAGAGACTAGATGAGTCCAGGGCTTCTCAACCTTGGCACTATTGATATTTTGGACCAGATAATTCTTTGTTGTAAGGGTGGCTAGCCTGTGCACTGAAGGATGTTTAGTAGTAGCTCTGGCCTCTACACAGGTGCCATTAGCAATCACCCTTTACCAAGTTGCAAAACCCCAAATAAAATATGTCTCCAGACAACGAATGCCAGATCTTCCTTGAGGGGCAAAATCACCCTGGGTTGAAAACCACTGTGCTAAAGAAAGAATAACCTAGAACCAACTCTGATGACTGCTGCGTCTGGAGAACTGGCTGGATACGCTGACTTTTAACAGTGAAGGGGCAAATGAAGCAGTCGGTTGGGACTATAGCTCCTAATAGAATAGGATGAATGATAGGTAGGTACATGCAAAATGACAAATGCAGACATCTCAGGAAACAGGAAGGGGAACAAAGAGCAAGGACACTGTTGAACAGGGAAATGAATCCATCTGAGACATCAAACAGGGAAATGAGTCTGACCAGCTTTCGGAAAACTCAGGATGCCAACTTACAGTTAGTGAGCAGCATCATGAAATGCCAGTATCAGAGAGAAAAGCTGAGCAGGCTAACAGGGCACTAACCTTGAAAGGTAGGAGACTGTGGTGCCACCACTGTCACTGGTTTGGTCATTGGGGCGGATGAGAAGGGATCCTCGGAGGGTGTGCTGAAGGCATTGGTGATCTGTGAGCACAGGGAGCTGATACTCTCTGCTTCCCCTTCTACCTCTGGCACTGCAAAGACAAACAGAAAATGGCTCCAGACAGAAACACTCAATAATCCAAATAGAACAGTATGGTACAAGGTGGCATTTTATACTGTATCCCTTATTTGTGAAAACAAAAGTCTCAACTGACAGGTGGGGCTATAAAAGCAGCTTAAAAAGAATTACTGTCCACTATTTCATTGGCTTTTCAGGTCAGGAGGTATGAAATGTCAATAGTTCATGTACTGAGGTATATCTTCCTCCCTTGCAAATCCCCAGATTCCTTTTTGTGCCAAGATGTTAGCCAGAAGTTTCTGGAAGACGTGAGTGACCTGTTTGTCTTCCAACCAGTTCACAGGTGTGATTTAAGCTCTGAAGCTATTTAGTAACTATCAGAAAATGGGTTAAAGTCAAGGGCACCAGTGGATGCTCAGTCCTTTTCTCTATGATAATCCATAATAATGTCATCACTCTCATTTTCCTCCAAAGTACAAAGTATAGTAACTGTGAAAACATCGAAAAGTGAACTGAGGTCCAGGACTCTCGAGGCTTTTTTCTTGATGCTGACTCCGGGATACTGTGTGTCACTGAGGAAGATAAATGTCTGCTGTTCCTTTATTTGCTCAACTGTGAAAAGAGAATGCTAGTTTTTGTTTCCTATCTGCTCCAGAATGAAACTAAAAACAGGTACTTGAAGCATCTGGAGTTTCCGTTTTTATAGGAGCTGAGAGCTGGACCAACCCTCGGTAATCGTCTAGTGAACTGTTCTTTAGGCCCAGTTTCATGTGTCAAGAGAACTTAACTCTCTGTACTTTTATACCACCACCAGTGAGAGTGCCCTATGGAGACAGAGCTTCCTCACGCTCTGAGGAAGCACTGGCTGGGTGTGTCTCAGAGTGAAGTGAAATAGAGTCCAATAAAAGCACTGACCAGATCTGACACTTTAGCTCCGGGTCTTATGATGAGGATAGAACTACCGGGGCTGGCTCAGCTGTACAGAGGCCACACAAAGCACTGTGTGGCAGTTCTGAAAGGTAATGAATATGTGTGAGCAAGCCCACTGTCTCTGATGAACAACAGATCTTAGATTCATACAGGAAGCCTGTTTAGAGTTTCCTCCCTATGGAGCCAACCAGCCACAAGAACAATGAGCACTTATCCATTTCTTCTGGTACATCTGACAGTGATGCTGTTTATCTTTATAATTAATTCCCTGCTGGGTCCCAAATGGCAGGATAAGAATGGAAACTTGAGACCCTTGATGTTTGGAAGCAGGCTGGCTGAGAGGTAGTTAAGTACACTTCCATCAGGACAAACCACAAATCTTATAGCTCAGGCTAGGAATTCCCATTATGGCTCTATTACTTGTCTGTTGAAGAGAAATGAATGCTTCACATCTCCCTCCAGGAACCTTGTTTTTCTCCCGATGGGAAATGATACAAGATACATATAACCATAAACCAGCCTGGGGGGCAAGGGAGGGCTAGTTTGGTGGGATTAGTGTTTCGACTGGAAGTGACAATAATGTTTCAGTGCTAGAGCACCAGTGAGTCAGGTGGATGCTGCATTACCTGCATTTTTTATGGGGAAATCAGTCTTCCTCTGCATAGTGGAAGGCAAATCGTTGATGCGCAGGGAAAGCTGGCGTTTAAAGGGTGACATCTTCTGGCTAAGAGCAGGAAATCCTCGGAAAGAGCCTTGGCGAGCAAGCTGTTCAATTGGAGCATGGCGGCGTGGGATGGCATGAGGATTGTTCATCTCCAGAGAGGCAGTGGCATCCGAAGTGGGAGAAGTGGGAGAAGACGGCGATGGGGCAGTGTTGCCAGGGGCCACTGATGAACCAACAACTGTCTTGTCTGCTTCAGCTAAAGGTCAAGCAAGAGAAAGAGGACCTTAGCAATGTCTTCAAATAATTGGAGCTTACACAGCTGAGGAACTCAAAAACCCTGGTAGGTCCTTTACCCATCTCCTTCCCAATGTCTCTTAAAAGACAGGTTAAAAGCAAGGCTCAGATCTATTTTTCAAACAAATAAAAGATTTAACCTACTACATGTCCCATGATATAGCTACCGAGACACACATATTAGATCTCTGATTTTCATGCAGTGATTCATAATATAAGCCTTTGAACAAGCTTAAAAAAATAGTACAGATGAACTTCTAATGTGAAGTCCTTTAAAGAATGATGATTTATGGTTTTCTTTAAAAAATACACACACACACACATATATATTGATTGATTGATTTCAGAAAGGGAGAGAGAGATAGAAACATCAATGATGACAGAGAATCATTGATTGGCTGCCTCCTGTACACCCTACTTTGGGGATCCAGCCTGCAATCCAGGAATCGAACTGTGACCTCCTAGTTCATAGGTCGACCCTCAACCACTGAGCCATGCTGGCCAGGCTGGTTTATGGTTTCCAATGTTTGTTTGCTTACTTGTTTGGGGGAGAGGACTTTGGGAGTGGCAGTTAGAAAAGTCTAAATAAGCATAAGTTTGATTAGATGTTACAGAATGGCATAAAGCAGTCTTTCAATCATGGACAATATGCATCGTGGCTCATTTGAATAAAAGCATACAGAAGTAAAATTTTAAATTGGAATAAACTAAATATAAGACTGTTTCCATGTGCGTACCAGCTGAGACCCAATCTGCATGTGGAAAATCTCTAGCACTTCCTCCCCTCACAACCCCGCTATAGCTGTTGGGATGCTACCACTTTGGCAGTTGCTGTGTGGAGCATGGAGTATTATGTGGTGGTGTTAAAGAGCACGCTTCCAGTCAGAAGGTCACCGAGCACACTAAGTAACAGCTGTCCATATTAAATTTCCTAATAAAAATAACACGGTGTTTCTTATTCTTTAGGATACTGGCATAAATGCTTATGAGAAATGAACTACAGTGGGGCCTTGACTTACGAGTTTAATTCGTTTCGTGACGGAGCTCGTAACTCAAATTACTCGTATGTCAAATCAAAAGTGAACGAGTGAGACACGTGATGCTGGGCTGATGTTGTGGCGTTCACTGTGACGTTTGCTGCGCCAACTAGCGGTGGGGTATCTGAAACTGGCCCGTAACCCGAATTTTAGCTCGCAACTCAAAGCAAAAAATTGGCCGAGAGCTCGTATCTCGAAAAACTCGTTAGTCGGGACACTCGTAAGTCAAGGCCCCACTGTAATCACAATGAATAATTTAGCTTCAAATAAAAACATGTATCTTTTTTTGGTCTTAAAAATTAGAGCTGTTTGGGTCAGTATTAGATTAATGAAGTTACCCAAAATGGCTGGTTTAGAACTGAAAGAATATGGTAAAAAATAGCAAAATTATGTTAATTTATATTTAAACTGAATTGTTTAATTCCAAAATATGCCATATTTGTTTCAACCTCAGTTATACACAAGAATGCAAAGCATTTCACCAAGCCCTCTCACTATACACCCAACCCAACTTTAGGCAACAGACTCTTGAGTAGCTTGAATGCCTGTATAGGCATGTGTACATTTCCGCTACGCTGCCATGTGTACCTGAAAACACATTCTGCAAAAATCACACACTAAAATAAACAGGGCTATAGGAGAAAGAGCTAGGGGCTAGCTTCTCAAAATCTAGGAACTTTTTTCACAAAAGCACTAAAAAGCAGTAATAATATAGTGCATGTCAGCAGGGCCTTTGCAGCCTGGACCTGGGATTTGTACTTCTTCCTTTAAGATGTAGGTTCTTTGTTGTTGTCGTTAATTCTCACCTAAGGACTTTTTTTTTTTTTTAATAGACTGAGAGAGAGAGAAACATGGATGTGAGAGACACACATTGAATGGTTGCCTCCTGCATAGGACCCCAACCAGGGCCGGGATGAAGCCCGCAACAAGGTGCGTGCCCTTGACTAGACTCGAACCTGGGAATCTTCAGTCTGAGGGACAACTCTCTATCCACTGAGCCAAACCGGCTAGGGCAAGATGTAGGTTCCTGACAGCATCTGCTTCTCACACAGATCAGATGCATCTGAATTAAAAATCTGCTCCAGGAACAGATTTTCTCCATTTTGTTTTTCAACACAGGGAGGGCAATGTCTTTGCAGCTTATTCAACTGCACTCTTAGCTTCCCCAGGTAGCTTAACATAATAAAAAGGGTAAACAGTTTCAAAGCCACTAAACAAACTACTCTAAAGGAAAGGACTTTGTTTAGATTTTCAGCTTTTGGTTGTTGTTATTAATCCTCAACCCAGGATATTTTTCCCATTGATTTTTTACAGAGTGTGGAAGGGACAGAGGGAGAGGTGGGGGAGGGAAGAAAGAGGGAAGGAGGAAAAGAGAAACAGAAACATTGATGTGAGAGAGACACATTGACTGCTTGCCTCCTGCAAGTGCCCAGACCCAGGCCAGAGATCGAATCTGCAACTCAGGTACATGCCCTTGACCAAAAATTGAACCCATAACCCTTGGTGTGTGGACTGATACTCCAACCACTGAGCAACATTGGCCAGGGCCAGCTTTGTTCTTGAGTTCTTCACATATTGCTAAGAGTTCTCTTTGTGAGAAAGCTTAGCCCTGATAGCTTCAAAAAGTTAACCCTCTGGGGAAAACTGTTTAATAAACACACACTGTAGTAGAACAGACTGTACCTTTCTTGGCATCTTGGATTTGCTTCATAATCTCCTCTCTTTCTGCTAGCTCAGTGGCTGTTGTGACACGGAATGATCCTTCTCTTGTAAAAGTGGTCCGGCTGGCATCAAAAGTAGCAGTCACTCCACATTCCTTCTCCCTCTTCTGCTTACGTTCTAAACAGGCCGCAAAAGCACAGCCTACAGCGTGGCTCAATCTTTCACCCTGTACATAACAGAAGGTTCACAGAATGTTTTTAGAGTTACTATACCAACAATTACAAATGAGTTTGGACCACAAATAAGTCTGTTTTACACAAGGCAAAATGTTGGGAGCTTAACCTAGATTTTAATATACTAATATGCCAAATTAATTTAAATAAATTACCTTAGGTAATACCTATGATACTTTACTGTAACAGGCATTGGGTAAAGTGACAATCGGCAACCTGTGCTTTTGTGAGCAGCCACTGAGACCTTCTTATTATTAGTGAGGCTCCCTCTGTCACTCACAGTAGCTGTGCCATCAGGTTAGGAGATACTGCTGAAGGTTTCAAGCTCTAAGTCTTGAAATGCAAAACCCTATTTGCTATTTAGGGGAACAGTGGAAATATTTACCAAGCATTTCTAAGAACCATTGGAAAGGCAGGGCAAGGTTCAGGAGCTTAAATATACTGTCAACATGTCTAGGAATAAAAGGTGCAAACTTAAAACTTTGAATAAATAATACAACTCCAGCAATGAAAAGGGAATCAGGCAAAGGAAAGCTTAGCTTTCTCAGTCCCCCCCTTTCTGAATATTATTCCCAAGGAACCCTTCCCATTCTAGACCCAAAGGGCTTTCAGGCTTTCTCCTATACCTTCCCTATATTCTTCTAGCTCTCTCTTAGCCCCAACTCTACCCCCAACCACACACATGCAAAAGTTAAAGCAGTTTGGCTCAGTGGATAGAGCGTCAGCCTGCGGACTGAAGGGTCCTGGGTTCGATTCTGGTCAAGGGCACATACCTCAGTTGCAGGCTCGATCCCAGGCCCTGGTCAGGGCACGTACAATTGATGTGTCTCTCTCACATCGATGTTTCTCTGTCTCTTCCTCTCCCCTCCCACTCTCTCCAATAAAAACCAAAAAACTGCTTTTTGTTTGTAAGACTTCACATGACAATAAACTGTTAAGATTTCAGTGACTATAAAATGTAAAATTTCACATGACTGCTTAAAAACTGACAGACTTATTTTTTATGAAACCACATGAGTTTCTAACTTTTTAATAGGATGATATAAGGGTAGGCGTGAAAGCATAGAATAGAAGAGAGTACCGAAGGAGTTTTAGAACCCGTTTGCATTTGCACACAGCTCTATTATAAGGACAGAGGTATAGGCCAAGGAAGCTTATTCTTTCTCTTTAGGTTTCAGGCAGAAGTTCTTGAAGACAGATCCCTCCTCAAGCTCCATCCCAGACCCAGTTGGAGAAATAGCTTTAATAATAGTCACTATTTAAAATTTTTTTTTATTGATTTCAGAGAGGAAGGGAGAGGGAGAGAGAGATATAAACATCAATGATGAGAATCATTGATTGGCTGCCTCCTGCATGCCCCCCGGATTGAGCCCGCAACCGGGGCATGTGCCCTTGACCAGAATCAAACCTGGGACCCTCCAGTCCACAGGCTGACACTCTATCCACGGAGCCAAACTGGCTAGGAATAACAATCACTATATTGAGAGCAGTTACCATGGGCCAGATCCTATGCTAAGAGTGCTTAAATTCATTAATGTAAGTTAGTTTTTGCAACTGTTATCTCCATCTTATAGCAGTGGATACTAAGACTTAGAGAATGTTAAGTAACTTGCTACAAATCCCACAGCTAGTGAGAACCAGAATCAGGTCTGGAACCCATATCAGATTCAGAGCCTGAGCTCTTAATATTTGTTTATACCACTGTCTCCAAGAACTTAAGAAAAAAAAAATCTTTTGGTCAATTTTAGAATATGGTCACCACTCTAAGGTTAAACCTTGCCAAGGATGTATTAAGTTGTAACCTTTGTGAATGGCTATTCTGCCTCATTCTGTCTGACTTTTAAAAACTCAGAAATTATACACTCAATGCTGTACTATAACTATAGTTAAAATCACCATCAACATGTAAGAGACATCTTTCATATTAGAATTTTAGGTAATTTACATGAAGGATGATACATTAGGTTATTCTCTATTTTTAAACAAGATGAAAAATTTCTACCATGTAACAATTTCTAGCACACTCATTATACCATAATTTAGTATTTCTGTTTTTTTAATTAATTGGAAATACACTCCAACTCAGTTCTTTCATTTGTAGTGGAGTTTCTTTGCAAATAAATTTATAAGCACCTTTCAAATGCCAATATCATCTACCCAGATGTCTTAGCAAATAAATACATGTAAGATCTTGAAAATGGTTCTAATAATGAAAAGTTTCAAATAAAGTGTAGCAGCCACCCTCCCAGAATACTTCTACTTTCCTTTAATGACCATGGATCTCACCTAGTCAGTCATCTTGCTCCGAGAGTTGCAAGGTCACACCAAGAGTGTGGATTACTTGAATAAAAGGAACGAAAGCAGACTAGTGTAGGCACTTCCAAGCACTGTAACAGCACGTACTTGTCAAGTGCAAAGTGCTTGACTGAGCCAACCCGGAAGGAGCTTTGCTGACTGAGGCTAGTCATGATGAAATCCAGGTTGAACTCACCGTGTCCTTGACAGCCATGAAGCAATGACAGATCCAGCGCCGAGTGGTGCCATCACGACATATGTAAGAGAAGGCTCTATCAAAGTTTCTATCTGGTGCACAGAAAGAAACTTTTTCTATTGTCTGGTCAACTATGAGGTCCTTGAAAAAGGGAAACACAAAGGAACAGAGAATTATGAGGTTATTCAACCTTCTCAGAAAAAGCACAGAATGTTCGTTTTATAATACGGAATCCTCACACCTAATGCACTGAACCTATGGAATAGCTGGATCTGAGGCCAGCAGTCTGAATACTAAGAATTTGACCTTAGAGAGATCCCATGAGGTCCTTTGTCCAGAGGCCTCTCACTTCATCTTCATGTTCTAAAACATATGCTTGCTGGTTATAATTTTATTATGGTAGAGCCCATGTTCAATGCGCAATATATGTAAATCAATATATTTAATCCAATTTCCATATAACTTATTTAATAACATCATTCCCCAAATTTCTATTTATTAACTTACTGATGATTAAACTTTGAGGACTTTCTGTTTATATACTTGCTGAATGACCCAGTATATGCATAGTATAAACATTACACAAAATGTTCTTAAAAATCTGGAGATTCTGAGGCTCTTCTGTGTGATATTTTCATGGCCTAGAATCCCTAGGTGCTGAGATGAGGCTGTAAAACATAAAATTAAATCAAATGGCTTTTATGTAGGATTGCTGAGAGTTCCTGTTGCTCCATAAACTTGCCAGTCAATTTTTAAAAAATTTGCAACTCTGGCCCTGGTCGGGTAGCTTAGTTGGTTAGAGCATCATCCCAATACATCAAGGTTGTGAATTCAAACCCAGGTCAGGGCACATACAAGAATCAACCAATGAATGCATAAATAAGTGGAACAATAAATTGATGTTTCTCTCTCAAAACAAATTAAATTTTTTTTTAAGATTTGAAAATAAAATTTTTTTGGCAGCTCATTATGATTTTATTTTGCATAACTATGATTACTATAAACTTCCTCTTTAGCAAAGAAATTGTCTTTTGGGTTGTCTGTAATTTTCTTATTGATATGTAGGAGTTATTTATATATTCTAAATATGATCCCTTTATAGACTATACAGATTGCAAAATTTCTTTTCCACTCATAATAGGTCCAAGAGTGACAATCCACTGATTATTATTATCACTCTGTGTGGAAAGAACTAATTAGTGTCAGTGCTATAAGCAACCACCAGGGGGAAACAACACTTTCTCATTATTATACAAAGCAATTAAAAACAGCCTCCATGTACAAATTTCATACAAAACACTTATAAGTTCTTAAAAATAATCTAAATAAAATGATCGTTGTTTCCAAGATTCATGTACGTTTAACACTACCACTTCTCTTGAACTTAAGAAAAAGCCTTTGATGGAAGGTGAAAATAACTAAAATGCAGTTATATTAAATCACTTAAAATTTATCTGGTAAGTTACCCATCAAACTGCTCTTTACTGGTCAGACTTTCTCCCAAGTCAGGTGACATTTTAGTTTTTCTGAAAAACTGCCTTCTTGCTAAAATTTCTCCAGACTTTAGGTCTCTTAGGAAATTTAAATTAATGATTAATATACTTATATAACACTATATGCTCTCTAAGGGAAGAGTCTATGTCTCTAATCTTATTAATCCTCACCCGAGGATATTTTTCCATTGATTTCTAGAGAGAGTAGATGGAGAAGGAGAGACAGAGAGAGAGAGAGAGACACATCAACTAGCTGCCTCCTGAATGCACACTAACCAGGGCCAGGGAACTTGCAACCAAGGTTATATGTCCTTGACCAGAATCAAAACCAGGACCCTTCAGTCTGCGGGCCGACCCTCTATGCACTGAGTCTAACCTGCTAGGGCATATGTCTCTATTCTTATAGGTATGTAGGATCACATTCTTTCAAATGCAAAATGCTACCTCTGATTTGAGATATTGTGTAGATTCTAAGTAAATGTTAATCTAATGAGTCACTTACTAGTTCTTAAGATTTCATTTAAATTGGGTTTTCAGTTAAATAGCAATCAATTCAAATATCACTTTCTAAAAACAGAGTTCTGTTAAGGAACAAGAAGAAATTTCTAATGTGGTCCATCATATTTAAAAATATTTTTTAAACTGTGGTAAAAGGTCCATCATCTTTTCCATCAAATTTGTGGGGTTAAACATTTTTTTAAAATGTGTAACAACAGAAATAGAACTCAGATCTTAACATTAAGTGAAAATGCTTGGTAGGCTAAACATGCTACGTCATGTAGGGCAAAAATGCGGAGAGAATTCTATTTTTTATAAGGTAAATGAGTAACTAATTGGCTTCCTAAACATTAACTAGTCTCAGAAGATTGTACTTTGGACAAAGTGAAGGATACAGAGTGACTACAACTGCTTAATGGCACTATAAATGATCATTAGGAATTAAAAAGACGTATGAGCTTACATTTAAGCTTGTAAAAGTTTTACCTTAGTTTTTTCATCCACAACTCTGAGTCCATCTGCTGATACCCACAGGACTGCCTTAACAGCTTTCTTTCCAGTCTTTTAAGAGAAACCAAAAAGAAAGGAGAGAGACACACACATATAATGTATATTTTAAAAAGTCATCTTCCATAGAAAACACTGACTTCTGCCTTCCAAAATTCACATGTACAAATGGAGTCCAGGAGAGGTGCCCAAAGCCATATACTCAAACCAAACTGCAGAAACATTCAGGAAAAGACAAGCCAAAGCCATTATTTTAGAAACGCAATGCAAAACAATACAATAAAAGTAAGTACAGGGGAGGGGATATATTAAAACCAAGATAACACGTTCCATAAAGGGCAAAGAATTCATAAGTAGATTCTTCACTCATTTAAAAAATAAACCAAGAAAATCACAAGTCAGATAAATTTAAACACATAAGGAGTTACACCACAAGTAGCTTCTACGAGTGTATTTAGAGTAGGAAGTAGTACATGAGTCTAAATTGAAATGCTGACCATTCTACTACCGTGTGACCCCAATGTATACAGCAGGACCTTAATCATCTGAAATTTTCATGTTAAAAACCCAATAATTTTTCATTCTTCCTTTAAACCATTATTTTTTTCTTCCAGGATTAAGACAGAACTAGTTTAGTTTTTAATTTGACATTAAATGCATGGAAACATTTTGGAGACATAGGAGAATTAAAAAACTGTTGAAAATATTGTTATAACATGAATTCTTTTTACTGCTAAGAAAAGACTTCTTTTGCACATAAGAATCACATGGGAAAAAGCTGATATATGAGATTTCTCCTGTGATGGAATGAAAACAGGAGAGTGGGAGTTTGTAATAGCAATTTAACAGCTTTCTTTCTTTCTAACTGCTCCAAGGATATGAGCAAAATAAAGCAAAAGCAAAGTGAGGGCTGAGAATAGATATCAAAACATCATAAAAAGTATATATCAAAAGGGATCAGGTACTAAAAGTTGGAGCAGCAGCTTCTAGAAGGGACAAGGAAAGATAAAGAAACGTCTACCATTCTCCTCTGTGTGTGTCCAAACCCAACACTCCTCGGTAGGAAAGGAATGGCCTTATTTGAATGAGCTGTGTGATCCACCCGGACTCATCATCTCCATCACCACCACACATCTGAGGAGAGCCTATTATATGCCAGACAGTGGAAATACTGTACTTGAATTCACACAGCCCATTGAAAGGTGACACTCAGATAAACAAAAAATACAGTGATGAGTGCTATAGAACTGAAAACAATACTATATAATAAAACCCTACTAAGCAAATTGACTAAAAGGCGGAATGACCAGTTGCTATGATGAGCACTGACCACCAGGGGGCAGATGCTCAACGCAGGAGCTGCCCCCCAGTGGTCAGTGCATTCCCACAGAAGCTGGGCTCATGGCTGGCAAGCGCAGTGGCAGTGGTGGGAGCCTCTCCTGCCTCCACAGCAGCGCTACAGACCCCTTGGTGGACATTCCCTGAGGGGTCCTGGACTGCGAGAGGGCACAGGCCGGGCTGAGGGGACCACCCCCACCCCCAGTGCACGAATGCCATGTGCCGGGCCTCTAGTGTATAATGATATCAGAAAGCAGGCATGGTCAAATCTGTGGAATCAAAGAAGGTTATTCAAAGGAGAAGACAGAACTGGGTACTAAAATAATTTTTTTAGATGTCCCAGATGGGGGTAAGGAGGGAGGGAACTGACAGAAGTAGTGGACATACCAGACAGAAAAAACAGCAATACTGGACATGTCAAATCTGGGCTCTATAAATATTGGCTTGAAAGTATGATGAGTGAGCAAGGCATGGTGGGAGATAAAGAGTAAGAAAGGCCTAGGCACGGAGGGCCTTGTAGGCCTTCTAAAGAATTCCATCTTAATTCTGGGGGCAATTAGGAGCTACTGGAGGAATTTAAACACAATTAAACAGATTTTCATTTTTAAAACATCACTCTGGCAGCAGGGGAGAGGGGTTGGAAAGAAACTGATAGGAGGCAAAAGACCACAAGATTTCAGATGAGAGAAAATGAGGTTGAGCTTCTTGATTAAGACTGGGATGGAGAGGAGAAAGTTTTACATGGTAATTGTAAGGGAGAAGTTGAGGATTCCTATCAGGTTCCTGGCTTGGGTAACTGGCTAGAGAGGTTAACTAAGAAAGAGAATAAAGGAGCCTGGCTGGTGTGGCTCAGTGGTTGAGTGTCGACCCATGAACCAGGAGGTCAGGGTTTGATCCAGGTCAGGGCACGTTGCAGGCTCGATCCCCAGTAAGGGGCATGCAGGAAGCAGCCAATTGATGATTCTCTCTCATCACTGATGTTTCTATCTCTCTCTCCTTCTCCTTTCCTCTCTCTGAAATCAGTAAAAACATGTTTTAAAAAGAGAGAATAAAAGAGATGCAAAAACAAGTTTGAGAAGGGGAAGAATAAGACTTCAATTTTGGAGAAGCAAAATTTGAGATGTCTGTGCAACATCAAGGTGAAGATGTCCAACAGGTAATTGAAAAATAGGTCTGAAGCTCAATAGAGAACTCTAGATGGAATTTTAAATTTGAGAGACATTAATCATGGGAATAATAGAAGGGCCAAGGCTAGAAGAGACTATCAATAATTAAAGAAGTAGGAAAAGATGAGTTAAGTCCTTGAAATATAAGAAAAGAAATAACCAGAAGGACAGGAAAATGGGTGATTGAAACTAAGGGAGAAGGGTTTCAAGAAGTAATGGGGTGGTCCAAAATGTCAAATGTTGCAAAGTGATCAAGTTTGAAAAGATGTGCAAAGTGTCCATTTGATTTAGCAATGAAGACACAATATAGTGATAGAGGTTGTGTGGTTAGTTTTATGTGTCAAATTGGCTAGGCTATGGTTGCTCAGTTGTTTGGTCAAACACAAGTTTAGATGTTGCTGTGAAGGTATTTTGTAGGTGTGATTAACATTTACAATCAATGGACTTTAGGTAAAGGAGATTACCCTGATAATATGGTGGAAGAGGACTAATCCAATCAATTGAAGGCTTTAAGGGTAAAAACAGAGGCCCGTCT